GGGCCGGGGTGCTGGGCGGGTTTGCTGTGGCCCTGGCGGTGCTGCGCCCCGGCTCCTGGGCTGTGTCACGGAAGCCGTGGGCTGTCGTTATCTGTAGATTTCACCTACGGCCGAGACCTGGCGCTCTAGGAAACGAGCGTGTTTTTCAGCTGTGCTTTCTGCAGCTGCAGTGCTGTAGCCTGACCTAACATACTGTTTCTGCAGAGGTAAGGAAACATTTCCCCAAGTTCTGGGGCACTTGGTTTCTAGCACCCAGCGTGGGGAAGGGCAAGAGAGGCCTCCCTGTTCTATTTCTCATGCAAGCTTCTGGCATCACAGAGAGCTCGTAGCTCTTGGTATCTTCCAAATGCAACCAGTTTTGTCTGTGGTGCTGCTCAGAAAAGCAGCTGTGCAGACGATGAGGTCCTGTGCAGGAGATCTTTCCTGAAGCCCTGGCCTCAGTAGAATGTGGCTGAGGCTCTGATGAGGGAGAAATTTGAAACTGAAAGGAGAACTGGATTTGTTAGGGAAACCACGGCTGAGCTTTCCCCCTGGGTGATTGTGCCACACTTAATTGTTGGTTGAGGAAGCAGTTGGTGGAGTCCCCTTATGCTCCTTAAGTGACCCGAGTGGTTTGGGTGAAGGAAATAATCAGGGAGGAAGGGGACGATCTGCTTCCCCCACAGGTCTCTAGGGTGACAAGTGGCTGAACGTTGTGTCTTGGGAAGCAGATCTGGTGTCAAGACAAGACTGGCCTGAAAGCTGCCGTCTGGCTGAATTGCTGTGTTGGGAGGAGCTGACAGCCCTGGCGGTGATTCAGTTGCAATGAGAAGGCCTTCGACTTAGGCAGTTGGCAAAATTCTCCCATATTATTTTCCTCTGTTGCTGCTGTTTTATTTGGCTTGTGTCTAAATGCCTATGACAGACTCCAGCCCTTATGAGAGAATGACTGGTTTGTATGGACCATTGATGTGGCTTTTGTCCTTGACAGCTGGTACTGGAGTCTGCTTAGTGCCTTTTGCACTGACTGTTCAGTCTTCTGTGGGTGTATTTTAAAGTTAGGCCCTCATGGGCATTCCAGCTTTTTGGTTTGAGCATGCTTTACTCTGTATGAGAAAATACCAAGCCTTTTCACTTAAGAGACGATCGTAATCTTGTGTGTGCCATGAAATGCTGGTTCTATTGGTGGTGGACGTTTGTGCGTGTGGATCAGTGGATGTTCTGCACAGAGATGAAGGGTTCTTTCCACGTGGTTGGGTGAGGTAGCATCAATCTGCAGAAAGGTTTTAAACCCGTATTTTTTCTGAATTTTGGAACTTGTCAAGGGAGAGAAGAAAGGCAGATAAATGTACCAGTACACCATAAATCCCCAAGGGGCACAGCAGATTTTAGTAAATCAGTTCTGTGTAGCGTGCCCCTACCTGGCTTTGCAGCTGTAGCCATGTGAGTTGCCATTATTGTGTTATAGTTCTTTTGGACATGCAGCTGCACTTGTACTTCCTTCTGGAGCTTTGCACTGTGTTTCCTCTGGCTTCACAGCAGCAGTGGTACAAACAAAATGTGTTCCCATTACTGGCCTTCCTTTCCTTGCTGACTTGAGAAAAGCAATGGCACTAATATGGTTTATGAGTCCATGCTGTCTATTCCCATAATGCCAGAGTCAAACCAAGGTGAAGCTTTCCAAATGCCCATTTTCCCTGTAGATGACAGGAGACCATTGCTTGCTCTGTCCTTGGATCAAGATCACTAAGACCTGTAGGACAATTCAGCGCTTTTTTTTTTTTTTCCCAGCCTAGCTACAATGGCACTTTGTATTGCTGATTTTTAGAATTACTTTCCCAGATTGTTAGCTGACAGTTCTTAGCACAGATACTGTTTTAATTTAGATCAGCATTCTGGTAAGTGAGCTGCAACATATCTTGGATACCAGCTACTTACAGCTAGGTTCTTTACCCCAATATATCCCAACTGCAAGAGCATCCTTGAAGCTGCTGGCAGCGTGTATGCTAGAGGAAGGTAGATTGTGTAACAGCCACTTCATCTCTGGTGGCCGCCTGATTGGATGTCTAATTTACCACTTCATGGAGGGATAATAAAATGAGAAGTTGATGTGCTGATTGAGGGAGATAACTACTTCCCTGCGTCCAGTGAGTTCTGAATTTCTGCAACCCACATCAAGAGACTCAGGCTTCAATTGACTTTAAAAGCCCTTGTAGCTGATATGAGGGGATTTCTATGCTTTTGAGAGAGAGGCTGTGTGACTTGTGGTATGCTTTGTGGAAGGGGAA